ATATCTACATGAGCACGCACAGATATCATTGTCCATTGTCTGGGAGGGCAGAATAATGAAAAATGGGTAGCGTTTTAACATTGAGCCATAAAGTTTATAAATCAATTAGATTTTGTTTACAAATGATCAACTGGAAGTAGTAGTTTTCTTAATATTATGCTTTAATGTGTTTTAACATGGAACTGGAGAGAGGTCATGGAATGCTCACATTAAATTTTTTATCAATGCATCATCGTCACATATTTATCTAAAGGAAATCAGATTTTAATGCTCCTTTTCATTTCTTTCCAATATGAAGCATAATTTAATGTCAAAATCAGGAGCAAAGAGTGGAAAAAATATTAAATCTCAATATATCGGCGGGTTATAGAGGTTTTGTTATTGACTAATGCTTACTTCTCTGACATACAGTCAGCCCAAGTTCACGAAAATCCTCGTGGCAAGGAACGCAAGATTACGCCTGTCGTTGGCAACAGCCTTGAGCACTTTACAGGTGACACAGTGCGACTTATCTCACTTCCGCCCCCAAATTTAATGAAGAGCGCCCCTGGGGACGGGTCCGAGGGTTTTTCACCCGTCTTTCCCAACCATCAGCCTCCCGAGATGACATTCGGCTAGCCGCATATTTAGAGTGCCCCTATGCCAAACGGATACTATACATTTACAAACATCCGTGCCTTTTCTGGGATTCGAACCCGAGCCCTTCGGCATGGCCGTCAGCGACGCTAACTACTACACCGGTTGAGCGACTAAATATATCAGGTTATAGAGGCTTTTAAAAGATCGACGCTCAACGCATGAAATATTTGCGATCTCAGACCCTCACAATCATATTCATTTGAACTATTTGGAACTGGAGATGTAATTATGTCTATAATAAGTAGTTTTTATAATATGTATTCCAGACTCTCTGTTGGGGCCACTACACGGCTCACCCCTCAAGCTCTCTATTCAGGTATGAGTCGTGAGATCGGAAAGCTTGCAGAGGGATATAAAAATGTTATTTTTCACCACTCCTCCTAGGCCCCAATCCCAGTGAGCGAATTAAAAAAAAAGTCCATCTCTTAAATACACCAGGAAGAGTGTGGAGCTTAAACGGGTGAAAATACTTGGCAGACATGCTACCCAATCGGATTATCGAACCGTTACTCTTTCGAATAGCAGGAAAAGGGTTTAAGTATTTCAATAACCCCAGAGCCGAGACTGTCGGCGATATCTATAATAAGTCAAATTAAGGAAAACAGGGTAAGTTTCAAATCCGACGAGCATTATTAGAAAATGCGATCGACAATAATCCTCGCAATATTGCAGAGCAAACTTTTAATAAACTGCATGAAAAAAAATTGAAAATTTAAAATGCATTTTTTGTGAAACATCTTTGAAGTGCTTAAATTCAGGTCAAATAAAATGTTTAGTTTCTGGCTAAAACCCGATTAGCCTTTGATAAAATGCATATAATGGACCGAAGCACTTTTTCGTGATGAAGGTAGATTGAATTCATTTTGTTTGGATGACATAACGAAGGCACTTTATTATTTTATTATTTTCTGTAGAATTAAATGACACTTTATGCAGAAAACAAGAAACTAAAACAATTGTTTTTTAACAAGATAATGACACAAAGCACAAGTCAAAGCTTCTAAAAAAAGGAATATTTTATGTCAAGAAAAAGTTAAAGTTATGCAAGGATCAGTTTCTCTCGAAGTATCTTAGAACATTTGGTGTGGTGTATTTAATTACGGCAAAGCACACTAGGGCTATCTGCCAAAGGGGAGGGATGCCTTTCGTGGAGGACTTTCTAAGGGAAATGACTCGTATACACGTTACACATGGGGGAAAACCACGAAAACACCCATGCAGCCAGCCCGTTCGCGGGATTCGAACCTCGGACCGAACTACCAGTGTTCAGCGACTTTACCGCTCGGCCGCTGGTGGGCCCGCACTGTAGGTAAAGAGAAGGTATTTTATATTATTAAATATGTTCCTGATAACATTATTAAATATGTTCCTGATAACCAGCTCGGCCGCTGGTGGGCCTCTCTTAGAACATTTGAGAAAAGACTTTCATAAAAGAATTAGAAATATTAATTATTCATATCTCGATGTCTTATGTGGTTCTTTGAGGAAAGAAAGAAAATATGTTTTTAACCGAGAATATTAAGACCATTGAACTTGAGTCCAAAAGGTGATCGAAAGCAATGATGTACTATTTTAGAATTCGCTTTCGTGGTTAATTTGACTAGGGCAAGAACTTTTGTAAATTCTTTTAAATACTTATATTTATTTTATTGCACTTAGGTTTCTATTTATATTTATATTTATTTCATTGCTACGTATTATTTATATTTATTTCATTGCTACGTATTATTTACATTTATTTCATTGCTACGTATTATTTATACTTATTTCATTGCTTATTTAATAAATTTTATGTAATCATGTTAGCGTATATATTTGTTTAATCGAATTTATTGCCAATTCTTGTGTCCGTAAATGTTTATTTTGTACATAAAGTTGCAGATCTTATGAGTCTGAATCGATTAACACTTAAATTTGGAACATAGCTCAATAATAAATCTACGTATAATCAGAAATCTTCATACGGAGTTTTGCAGCAATTTTTTAATTACGAAGTTGGCGATTTTTAGCCACGTCAGTAATATTCTGGAAATTTTCGGAAACCACGTTTTCCAAGCCATAAGAGCGATTTTTTTTGGAAACTACCATAAGTGCTGAAGAACTCTATACATACAGCTGAGTTGAAACTCAATCAGTTGAAAACTGTTGAATTATATTGTGCTCTTGTTCAGTAATTAATGCATGAGAGTCTACTCTGAGAGTGACGAAGTTAATTTGAGATATTCTTTAGGAGATCTTTTCTAATCTCTACGTTTCTTGAGCTATTTTTAACTATTAGCTTTCTTCTAAGCTGTTATTTTATGTCAACAATGGTGTCTATATCTTCCAGCTTATCGGGTAAGAGATGTTTATGAGCATGCACCTCGGAACAACAATTTAGTTTTGGACTTCAAAGAAATTGTTCTGGGTAGTTCTTTGTACTTTTACGTTTTGATGTATCTCGCATCTTTCATTTTGTAATGTAAAAACTTAATGAAATAGAACCATGTATTTTAATTATAACCAATTTTCTTTTATCGAAGTATATTGGCTCAATATTAATCCCTAAGTCAAAATTAACTTTCCATGATTGACTCCCCTTTCAAATGCGTTTAATTCTGTGTTGAAGGATTTTTCGAGTGAAATGTATTTAGTAAATATAAATATTATACATAAAGAGAAATATGCTATTTCCAAATGGGAAAAATATTTCATTTAAATTACTTAGTTTTCGAATTTCTTTTAATACCTTGTTCATTTCAATTACCTATATGAGTAAAACTTTTATGTTCATCGTACTTCTGCTAATATTCTTTCTCAATATAGAAACCCAAGCAGAAATTTAAATTAAAAAAAGTTCGAAACAAAATGATTTGATCATTACTTTATAAAATTCTAAATATCAAACTTAGGAATACGATGTAGCATAAATTTAGTGAAAGGAATTATGTGACAGAGAGACATGGGTGTTTCTTAAATGAAATTGTAAAAAGTAGAAGGAAAAACATTCTGTAACAAGTATATAAAGTTTAACATTAGAAATAACTTCTTAATTACAATAACACTGCATATATTTTAATTTACATCAATTAAATATAGTATTAAAAATAAAATAAAGATATAAATTATCAAGAAATTTGTTTATTGTTTATACATTTCTCAGTTTATTGAGCAAGTAAACATCGATTAAATTCGATAGGTAGATTAAATATCTTAAGCTTTATCAAATGGCAACTCCGAGAAATAGCTAAGCTGGAAGCTGCATGAAAGATAAGTTAAAAACCTCATGTTTCGGCCAATACCAATATAAAATTTTAGAAAGATTTCAGTAAAAAACATTTCTAATTTCAAAATTACAATTACAGTTAGACTTATATAATTTAAGCAATTTTAAATTTCATTTTTCTTTTGTATAATAAGATTGTTTTTACAGCAATATTGTCATTATTATTTATGATATTGATACGTACAATGATGATAGCATTGTAAATGATTATTTCGTAATTACGGATCGCCAAGCGCTACCTTTTGTAAACGTAGATTTCCCGCATGTGTTTGTTCAAAGGTATCAATATGTAAAGTAGGTTCGTCCTCGGTGCTGGTTTTTGTGGGACTTCAACCTCATACGCAGACACCATGCGGCCGCAGAACATTATGCGCTGAGAATGTTACTGTAATTCGGCAAACCTTAAAAGCTTAGGTTTCGAGTAAATCCCAAGAGTATGAGCTGTTTATTGGATTAAAAAATTACAGCATTTGAAATGAAAACTGCTTCATTGACAAGTAGAAATGAGTAAATCACTGAGGTCGAGGGGCTACTGATAAAGATAATCGAAAGACCATTTACCAAATTTCGAAGAAACTCTGTTTATCCGGAAGTTCATGGTGCTCACTAAACCACCTTACCTAAAAGCGGGTTTTTGTATTTTCAAAGATAAAAAAACGTAAAAAAGCAATTCAGCGGATAAAAAAGCAGATAATTGGTGTAGATGAGGTGTAATAAATTACATTACTCTACCCTGTCAAGAGTTCCAGAGCTTTTCCAAGTGCCCAGCAATGGTTGAAAAGTTGAAAAGACTGCAACGATGTTATTAAAGAGGACTAAATTTAATAAGTATAGAATATAATATAATTGCTTAAAAATAATTCCATTTATGTTTGAATCCTTCATCGTGAACACAGTTTGGTCTTTGAAACACCATTTTATGAAACCGATGGCCTAAGGCAATATAGCGTGTTTTAAAAATACGATACTTTTTGTGTATTAAATATAACAGAAGTAACATATTAACTATAATTTAAAATACAAGTAACATGTTAACTATAATTTAAAATTCCTAGAGTTGTCTGAGATTCACAAAAGATCTTTGAATTTTCTCAACCTTAGCCCACAGTTCTGGCACTCTGGCTTGGTAGATGGCTTCTAAGGCATCCCTCAAAGAATCATTCATGATAATAGTTCCATCGATGGCTAGCTGTAGATCAAGAAGGTCATTGCGAACGGTAGTGATAACTTTGTTCATTCTGTCCATTTCTAAACGAAGAAAGATATTCATGGGTTCTAATGGCCCCATTTCTTGTAGAGCCCGACGTATCTGAAAAAGGAGAGAATTCTTATTATTAGCAGTATTTTTAGTTAATGGATAATAAAAGGAAATATCTTTTAGATGATAAATTCTGTGAATTCTTATATTTTTGAAATTTTGTATACAGAAATCTTCTTATTTGAAATTTACAACATTATTATCCAGTTTTTCAGGTTTTATTCCAAAAGATGCAGTTGCAAGAAAACGAATACGTGCATCACGCCTTTGCTTAAAGAGCCTTACGTGACGCTTTAAGCAAGCGTCATGTAAGTGTTATATCATCAGATTTCCGTTATAAATGTTTCCTAGTAGTATTACACAGTTAGATAGACCATAAGCTTCCTAGTGTATAAAACGAATGATCCAAAATGCTGGTCTGTACAATTAATTTAATACACATTTAAAATACACCTATAGTCACAGTTTTCGATAATATTTATTATAAATTATTTTATTCATTTTCTTAATAACTTGGTACTAAATAACAAAAAAATTCATGAGAATGGATTATAGAATAACACAAATGTTTAAATAGCAAACAAATTTAAAAAAAAATTTTAATTTCATAAAGCGGAAAGGGTTACTTAAAGATAATGGAACAAAATAAGAAATATACATTAACATATATTGCAGAAAAGTCACGAATTTCAAAAGGAAATCTTGAGTATTTTAGAAAAATTGACAATATGAAATTCCAACATAGACTTTGATTTAGAGATGATTTGGCTAAAAGCACGTGAGTACTCTTTGTTGTAAATAGGGTATCTTGAATGAGAACAGATTTGTTCCCACGTTATCCAGTAGGAAAACCATAAAACCCTATATTGTGGGCCGTTCGTCGGAAACCAAACCCAGAAATAATTTACTTGTATTTAGAGGTCTTATCCACTCAATTGCCAAAGGGCCTTTTCTTAGAAATATGGTTAAAATTGGTTGTTTCAGCGTGGCAAAGCACAATGAGTTCTCTATCTGCCTAGAGAAGAAATATGAATTTGATGTAATTTTTTACGAGATATGTGTAAAATAAAATATGTCTTACCTAACTAACATTGTTAGATACAATTTAATTCTATTACACATAGGTCCTTTACGTTTTCAACAAGTAGTATATATACACGCTTACAATTCGGAAGGTTCAGAACAATTTCATAAAACGTGGAGCTAAGTATATGCGTAAAGGTGCGAAATGATAATTTTTCAGTGGGTGAAAGAATTAACTGTTAATTTTAAATTTAGCCTGAAGATGGCCTATTAGTTTGGTCACAGAATACATACTTGTGTTTCATAACAATAAGCAAGAAAAACGTTCTTTCATAATACGATTTCATTGCTAAATGTATCTTTATTGTAACTGTACTTCAGATGATGCATTTCTACTTGAGAATAGGAAGGGATACTCATTATATTAATTGCAGTAGTTGACAATTTGACTGAAGCTTCTCACGGCACGTAACATTTTCTGCATAATTTAAGGAAGATGACGGTGATCAGATGATATCTTTGATTAAATGGGCCTACATAAACTCAAAATTGGAAATCTAACATAAATTAAACGGAGATACTTTAAAAAGACAGATGTATTGGACACCTGTCGGGTGATAAAATATAGTTGATGTTCTAGAATAGACATCGGCAATCGTTTTAGGCTGGGGGTAAGCGAAGAACATGTGTCATAAGCTTGTACTAAGAAATAAGCGTGTATTAAGAAGGCGTTCCGAGTCGGGGGGACTTTCATTTTAAAGCAGTCTCTCTTTACAATTTTAGAGCAGTTTAAGACAAATTTTATTTAGAAAATAATAACAATACTCTTTAAACTTTAAGCATAAAAATTAAAATTTATAATTTTAACTATTATTATAAAAACAAACAGCAGAATTAGCTTCAGTTTTCTCTTCAGTATCCTGACTCCCCTAATGCTGACCTGACTTCAGTTTAGTCATGTCTAGCGTATAATTAGTCTTCTTAAGACAACTACAAGAATCTGAATTTTCTGTACTTAAGCTGCTTCAGGTCTTACTCAAAATAAATTTCATGTGTGAAAATATTTGCTCGCATTTTATAAGCCAATGCGGATAAAATAGTAAAACTAATTTTCTGGAATTACAGATTACGGATTGGTGTTGCCAAAATTGTTGATTTCTCCTTGAAATTATGCTACAGTTTTTACTTTTTTAATTAAAAATTTGTACTAGATGCTGCAACATTTTTAATCAAACAAAAATTTTATTATTATTATTTATTTTCGGTTTTATTTATGTAATCTTCAAGTGCTTGTTTCTAGTTTATATTTTATAATTTATTATTATGTATTATACTTTACTTTCGGAACTCAGCTGGGTCACTTGAAATCATGAAATGCGCCACGCGGTGACTCGGGTGTCATAGGTTGCTGGTACCTGGTTTAGAATATATTTCTCCCTTGTATAATTCAAACTAGTCAACTTGTGCATTTATGTCATTAGTTGCAAACATAAAGTGCCTGGTGAGAAGTGATGCACTCTTTTGTTATTATTTTCCTCAACCTGAATTACTCTTAGAGCTGCACTACAGTACGGCTTTAAACAATGTAATCAGTATAGAAATTAAGTATCTAAGGTTTATTTGCTAGTATTGCAATTTCTATTTCGTTTATTTACAATATATGTTTATATAGAATTTAATAAACTTCAGTCATTATTACCATGTCTAAGCTAAATAAATCCCTTTAACTTTTGTATTATTTTTAATGAATATTTAACGTATTATTTATTATAATAATACTTTTATTAAACTGTTTCAGGACGGATTTAGCACCACTTATGCTTAGTATCTTCCGTAGGTAATATAACAGTCGGAACTGAAATGGTTCAGCCAACAATTTCCTAAACAATATAGCTTCCTTCCCATTATAAGCGAAATCTCACTTTAAAATTACTCAAAAGAATAAAACAATAAGAAATAACATCTAGTGCTGTAGAAACTTGATTGAATTTCACAATTATTTTCACATACCAGTCGTATCAGCTCACAGTTAGGATATATCACATAAGTGATAACATAATAAGTGTGTCACACATAAGTGACACAGTTAGGATCTGTCACATAAGCAAAGCCTACGGAGAAATGTGCAGTTCTAACAAAGCACTAAAAGAAAGGAATTGTTAGCACTGTCAAAAAACTGTGGTAATATGAAATAACTTATTATGATTCTTCGTGATTTTTTGGTAGTTAATGGACAGACTCGAACATATTATTAAACTAAGATTCAAGACTGTTATTTTGCCTAGCTTAACCCTAGTTTTTAACGACCTGCATAGAATAAAAGAGCCTGATTCCTTGAACAAAAGATTTTTAATTCCGATGAATCAAGATAAATCAAATAAGGATAAATAATTCGAAAGGGGAAAATTAGAAAATATATTGGAGAAGGGGAGTTGAATTCTTGCCACACCAAGTTATAGATGTATGAGTGGCGATACCTTGGGAAAAAGGAGGAGCGCACGCTGTATCACATTCGGTGATTAAAAATGTGTACATTTAGTATCTGGGAATCTCTTGTACATCTAGTTTATCATGATTTATTTCGATTAAATCCTTTAATTGGTTCGAATCACTAGAGGAAATTCGATAGCCTCAAAGTTCGTTTTATAGCCTCAAAACTCCTAAGCAAGACTTCGCAAATGAAAGGCGAGTGTCTCTGTCGTTAATTATTCTTCCACGGAATACGTTATTGATACATTTTACTGCATTTGCTGCAGAATTTTCTGAAATGAACTCTTAATTTACTCTGTTCGATGATTAACTTGATGTCCCTAGTATTCAATGCTTTACGCTCATTGAGCGAAACAAACATTATAATCGCGTCAATCACGTTTGACTCTGTGTGTTCACATAAAATGTTTGCGTAGGCTTCAGCAGTTTCTCTTTCGGTAGTAGAACCTGACATTATTTAATGGTCATTTCATCTGTAACAACTCAACATAAGAGTGATTTCATCCTATAAAGTAGTTCAATGCCACTTTATAAAAGTATTTTCTCCCACCTCTCTGCATGCTTCCGTGGTGTAATTGGGAGTATACTCGACGCATATTCAAGAGGTCCAGCGTTCGAGTCCGAGCGAGGGCATTGAATATTTTTCACATCTCCAACATCAGAAAACCCTCACTCTGCAACTTTTTAATTTGTCTAGCTTTAGATTGTTTTCATAGTTGGAGATTTTATATTTTTGTAATATCTATAGCAACCTCTTAGAGACTTAGGGTTTCGAAGCAGATAGCCAGGAACGTGAAACATCAGCTGTGCCTTTGCCAAGATTGGATTTAGGTCTTTTCCATTTGCTACTGGGACATGAACCACAAATATTACCAGAGCATTAACGGAGAAATGCAATAATATTTTACCGCCTCAGCCAAGATTGCTACAGAAATTGATGCTTGTGATTTTAAAAATTCGTTGTTATTCCTGAGAGACATTCAGAGAAATAGAGGTTCTACCTGCTCCGAGTTTCCTGATGTTATTTTAAATTTAGTTGCAACAGGTCAAAAACAAATTAGTTATTTACAAATTGATTCTTGTATGAGTCTCAGGAAAATGCAGAAGGAGAAGTAGAAAATGTTTAGACACGAATTATTAATATTTGCTGCAATACGATTCGAGTACTATGCATAGAGAGATTTTCCGCTAAGATTAGCATAGGAATTTCCTGGCCAATCTTGCTGTATAATCTTTGGCGTAAAAACGTTCTACAAAGCTAAATATTTTATCTAAATCGGCTTTTGGATATTTGACCAAGATGTTTACTCTTGCTGTTTGGCTTTGTAATGGGCTAGAGATAAAATAATAGGTCAGAAAATAATTAAAGTAAAATTTCACTTAAGATAACAGACGAATGAAGAAAACTTTGTCTAGGTTAATAATGATGAAACATTTTATGTTCTACTTCACACTTTTCTTTTACTAGCATGGTTTTTCATAAATGCAGTCTAGTGTTTAAAGATAAACTATTGTTTTAGCAAATTACAAACGATGTGACGAACGATATTTCCAGGCTCAAATAAACACATCCTGTTTGAATTCACAAACAATATTTTGATATGAAACATTCCAAAAGACTGAAATTTATGATCAAGTTTGCTTCAATACTAGCAGTTTTAAGATAATACGTTATAAAGAAACCATAAAATGTGATAAAATGCATTGCATAAACACAGATGTTTGTACGGATATCTTTTCCTACTTGTCGTCTATAAAATACTTTAAATTATCCAAAATAATTAACTTTATTGATGTAAAAACAGTTTTGCATTAATAAATGAATAGCGCATCTATGAAGTTTTAAGATTGAGTTAGCGCAGAATGGGAAATAGTAAGAAAACGACGTTCTTACTTTTGAGCATTTAATATATAATTTTTGCAAGTATATGAAACGTTTTACGTATTAATGTAGCTGCTTGAATTCTTCCTAAAACTTACATTTTCGAATACTGTTTAAACCTGTGGTAACGGTTTCCTGAATCCCGACAGTACTATTAAAATAATGACCCTTGAAATGAGACTTCACTTCAAGTGAATAAAATGAGTAAGTGCTTAAGAACATTAATATCTGTTTTTTTAGAAAATCTTTGATGAAAATGGAAATGAATATCGGTGTCAAAAAACAAGTTATTTGATTTAGCTTTTTTAGGTCTAAGGCGCGGAATTTCTTTCAGAAATCTGTCCATTACACCTTTATAGAATATGGAACTAACCGTCTGTCTCGAAAGAACAAAACTCTTTTCTTTTTGAGCATGTATTTGCAAAGCTAACAGGATCACCAATGTGGTCTTCATTCCATATTCTTAAGGCCAACGTTTCTGTGACCACGGAGAACATTTTTGGACTCAAGCAAATGACTGCCATTTTATTTCAGGGTTATAAACAAACCAACACAGTTTGTTTGAAAAAATTCAGTATTCATAACCAGTCACTAAGCTCATCAACTATCATTCGAAAACATAAGTGAAGATTTTTCAGCAAAAGACTATCGAATGTTTTCCATATTTTTATTCTTTCAAGACTGTGAAAGGCGACCTTTATTGAGGTAAAAAATTCTCGTTTCTATTATCACAAGCTTTGCATCTGTCACGAAATCGCCTACCAATGAAAAACATTAAATCCTGTTAATGTTTGAGTATCATATCTATTTACACGACATTCCAAATGAGAATTGCTGTTTTTCCCTTCAAAACTTCATTCTTGTTCTTTGCTCAGTTTTGAACCCACGACAACATCTTTCTTCACTTAATCAGAGCTAAGGGTTAAGTGCATTGAATGTCCTATCCCTAAGCAGATATTTCAGGAAAAGCAGATGAGATGTCTTAATAATAAATGCTGTCAATTATCCTCCGGCAATTTATCTAGAATTAAAATTTTTTAAAGTAGTTAAACATGCTAAACTTTAAATACTTTAAATTTAAAAACATCTAAACGATTAGTTCAAAGATTATACATAAAACTTTGTAGGCCCGCAGTACATGACCAATGAATAGTTAGTACTTCCGATATACCTTTTGATCAGCAATTATTCTTTAACAAGGCACGACATACAAGTTAATCTTTAACAAGGCGAATGAATAGGTTTTTCAGTTGTAAAAATAATTTCAAATAAATTTAAGGTATTTTCTTTTCTTAACCGCTTAATCTTTATTTTGCTCTCCTATCTCATTGTGCTAATTCACCAGTTCAATCTACAAATAAATAAATGGAGGATGAAATAAAAAGGCTTAAAAGGAAGGAGGCGTGCAAGTACTCAGTTATTTAACGTTTAGCTGAGGATTAAATATACAGAGCTTCTAGCTTTTCTGCCGATTTTAGTGTGAAATTTTGTATGAACCTTAGTATAAAAAGAAACAGTATTTAAATGTTATGAGTTAGTCATGAAATGAAACACTGGGGATAAATCTGACTTATGATGTTGTTACTTTACAGATTAATGTAGGATGGCTGCCTTTAAGGTGTTCCTAATAATTTAATCGTGTTTATAGAGCTATAAATTACCTAAATTTATGTTCTATATTATCAAACTTTGAATTTCAGAAGTTGACCATTTACTTCAAAAATTTCAAGTTTAGTTTTTATCTCAAGTTTAAAATTAATTTAGGTTATTGATTTAACTTATGTTTTTCTTTGTTCCTGGTGATGTGGCGATGACCATTCTCCCTTGTCTTACCTCATCAGAATAAGCCCACGAAATTCATCACTAAAAAACACGTGGTAAGGATTACAAGTTTGCGCCTATTGTTGGTAAAATTCTTTGACACCATATAGGTGACAATAAGATTTTGCCCAGTTTTACCCCGATTTTGAGGAAGAGGGAGCTCGAAAGTCTCCCACTTATCTTCCTCTACCACTAAACCACACGACAGGACCTTCGGCTAGCCATATATTTAGAGCGCTTCCATGCCACAAAGACACTGTGCATTTACAAACATTCATGACTTCTCATGGATTCGAACCCGGGTCCTTCGTTACGGTAGTAGAGAGACTAACCACTGTCTTGTTTGGGCGGAAGGTGTTTCTTTAGAAATTTTTGATTAGGTTCAACGTTATTTCTAAACTAATAATTAACTAAAAATACGTAGGAAGATTTGAAGGATAATATCACTCATTTAACGTTCAAATTTTGAGTTTTAGATAGAAATTAGGATACTATAACAAATGAGAATGATTGAGTGACGAAGAAGATTAATAAAAGTTGAGGAATCTTAAGTTCAGCTTTCGCCTGTATTTCTAGCTTTAAGTTATTTCAATCTCAGTAATGATATTATTAGGATTTTATACTTGCAAGAGACTTATTTTCGGAAATATTCATTACAATAACAAGCAAAGAAAGCGAAATAGATTGCCGCTATAAAACTACTATAAATAAACACACCTTTAACTATCAATTTCCAGTTTGAACGTTAAGTAATAAAAGCAAGTATTTCTCTCCTCTGTTTCTCTGCGTGAACTAATTTGCGATAAGCACACAAACTGACTATTTAGAAATAGAATACCTTCACTCACATTCTAAATGATTTTATGTAAGCACTTAAATTGCTTAAAATATTCTAATTCTTACCAAAAGCAGGATGTGAATAGCATAGCTAAAATGATGCATCATCATTATTGACGACACTTTTATTACAAATCTATGCCCCATTAGATGCGTGAACAATAGAGTATTTAGACCAGCAATTGAGTAATTGTGGCCGTGAGTGATACTAAGTTATTTGCATTATCTGCGCGCGCGGCGCCCTCCACTCACGTTTTGTGATGTGAATAATTATGGCGGGCTGAGCATGGTTATTAGGTAGCAAAATCTTATCAGTCTCACTTCACGTTTATTTATAAAAGCAGTGTCCATGACTTATGGCGGTGAAGCGCCGTTGTCATGGGAACACCCATTTCAACCAATAGCGCAACTAAAATTTTCTGGTGATGGGGATGTCAACAAAGTGCAAAGAAAGAGAACAGGACGTTTAAATGCAATTGCACATTTGGTTAAAACTGTAGAAATGGTCAGATGTGAGCACTAGAAGATAACTAACAGCAACAAAATAATGTTAAACGACTCAAATAAAATCATTATAGAGGCATTAAAAAAAACAAATTATCAATTAAATCTTAGCAATTATTATAAAGTTATTCAAGGATCATTAGATATTTTGCAGTGGTTTTGTTCTCTAATGCCTCAGAAATAACAGTTATTTCTTTGACAAAAACATTTTTCTTATTTAATTTTGATATGAAGTTACAGTTTTTGTGCGAGTTTGCTTTATTAAAATTCCTATGAGAAGATCGAATCTTTATTTCGTATTGATTTTATTTCCCGAATCCATTTGATTTTCTGGAAATTTAAAAAAAAAAAAAAAAAAGTATGCAATATAGAGCTTTAGAAACATCCTTTTATTAATTATAGTAATTTTCTCAAAAATTGTTGAATATTTTATGAAATAAAGCACTTTTAAATTTAAATGAATTCACTGTGTTATTGATTAGTGATGATTGTCAGATACGTACATATGTTCGTGAGTAAGATGTACACATGTCAAGAAAAAGGCCATTTTAAATCAATTTAACTATTTTAAATCAATTTAACCGTTTTTGAAAAAAGAATCCTTAATTCTGTCCGTAAATACAAATGTAACGCAAAAGCTCGTCTAAATGGATTCGGGAATGGTCAAAATGGTTGTTTCCGTTAGAATATGATATCCAAAATTTTTCGAGATTGCGAAATAAAGAATTACGAAGTAAAAATTATTACATTATTAAGTAAAAATAACAGTGAGTTTAATCTAACGATTAGTAAGTTACTTTGGAACATTTATCTCTCTGTAGAAAATTGCTTGTATCATACTAAAATCCGGTTTCCTAGACCTGGAGCATCGTCTTATATTTAATTAGTAATTCTTGTTATCCAAGCTGACTTTTAAAATGTATTTATTGTCAGCGAGCAATAAAAAATATTCTTAATGAAATGTTAGCATGAAAATCGTAAGGATTGAAAAGCAAACACTTGCGTACCAATTACAGAAACAGTACGATATGCATAAGGACTGAAAAGCAAAGAGTTACGTACCAATCGCAGTTGTATAGCATTTGAGACATCTTTTTTTAATTAAAATGATACTGCATAAATTATAAAAATTATACGTACGTATATTATACATTACACGTACTTAAAATAATATCATTTAAGCCATTAGTCATGGGTTATCTACAAGCTGATAATCGATGCGGTCAGTAACCAGATTTTCGCATTAAATTAAAAACATTTTTAAATGAAATTCAACCGAATAATGTAGGTAGGCATTAAGGGTGTTGGTCAGCGCTTACCTACACGTTGTAGGTCATGGAGCAATATACCAAATTATACTTTAAAATTAAAATTTAATTAAAACGCAAGATTAAACGTAAGATTCCGCCAAGGGTCCCCGTTGTTTTAAGGATATGTGTTCGTTCGTGATTAGTTATTCAAGTGCTATAGTGCAGTGAATTAAAAGAGATTTCTAAATTACAATTAAATCGAAAGATAATGGTGTCTTTTGAAATTCTTGGTCAGGTCAACCTGCAGGATAAAACAAATGTAAAAAAATGCTGATGACAAATGGGTTTAACTTACATATCATCAGTGTGGCACAGAACAGTAAATTTGGACAGACTTTAAAATTACAATTTAATCGGAAGACGCTGGTGCTTTTCAAGGCTTTTCGTAACCGATAACGTACAGATTGAGTTCACTTCCGGTCAAACAGTCGATTATCAGAAAAGAGTAATACATTTACTCTTTTCTGATGACATTCTACAACCATTAAAATTAAATGCAAGTATGCTGGTGCCCGTCAGTGTCATCTGTGAATTCAAACATAGAATCGCTTGGAGACACCCAGCGGGTTATTGGTTTAATAAATTTATTATTTTTTTAAATAAAGTTTGACTCGCATAATATTGGTTCTTTTGAAGACTGATGAGAATCTCAGAGACTTACAAATTAAAGATCGTTTAATGCCAAGTCTTACATTAATTACCGTTGTTCGAGTAGCAAATTTAGACAGATAATTAAAATTAAAATTCAATCGATGGGCAGCAGTGGCCATCCAGGCTGCTGGTTACCGGTGACTTGCAGCTTGATGGACAGTTAGAGTCAGCCAGTGCATTACCGTTTTGGGGCAGTGCTATGAATTTAGATATATTTTTAATTAAATATTAATGGGGGCATAAACGGTCCGTTTCAGGTTTACTTATTATTTAATGAACCATATTTAATTATTTAATGAACCGCGACCACATAAATTAAGGTCGCGGTGCTGGTTACTGGTGACCTATAGATTATTGTTGTTATCTTGTTTATATTACATAGATGTATATTGGTGAAAATTTTGCGTTTGGCTATACGTATGGTACATACAAACTTCTTCGTTCATACATGGAACAATAGTTGACAGAACCTACTCCGAAGGGACCTATAGATTGAAGATGAAGTTAGGGTCAACCACAGAGTCAACGTTGTAGGGGAGTAAAGTATATGCACTACATTCAGATAGATTTTTAAAAATAAAGATGAAGCCCAATAGTGCCGTCAAGGTCGTTATGAACTTACAGTAATCTTCGCTGGAGATCAATTCATAAGCGACCGTTACGAAACAGGAAAGTAAGTATGAAAAAGTTTAAAAAATGTAATTAAATCAAGGGTAATTTTATCTGTCAAAGCAGTTGGCCAAGGATGGATGTTTACTGATTTCCAATCCTGTAAGTTTAATGGTACAAGCAATGCTGTTAATTTCAATATATTGTTAAAATTTAATGAAACTAAAGGCTGTCGTTAATCATAACAAAGGAACACCAGGTAACGTCATATCTTCTGCCAGCGGTGACAGCCAAGTCACAGGGTAGTAACAACTTGTGAGTTTTCAGTCACGAGTATAGGGCAGTGCAATGGTATTTCAAAAACAACACTTGCAAAGGTAATGGAGAACGTAACGTAACATAACGTTTTGAACGTAACGTAGATAGAGTAGCGTAACGGAAATCTCAAAAGATTTCGCTAAAGACGTCTCAAAATTTTAAATTATTTACATTGTAAAACAAAAGTAATTCATGTTTAGTATAATTGTAAGATTAACAAAACCCGAATATGAAGGAAATCTAATATTTTTTTTTTATTTTGCATGACTGTGATCTGTCCCATTGCTTTCCTTTATTAAAACTAGTTTTTTTTAACTAAATAATATTTTATATCTCTAAATTTTCAAAAATTTCCGAAAGAGTACGTAATCTTTAGAAATAAATAGAGTATGGATTTATTAAAACCAGAATCTTAAGAAAGCAAAATTCTGGGTAATACTCAAAAGTTAGGAATCATGTTGCGTCTAGCTTTGCTTTTAAAATATAATTGTGCATTTAATAATCTGTCATCTTACAAACATCAGTTCTAATAGGAGATTATTTTGGATAAACTCACATTTCACCTTTTCATATCTTACAAATGCAATTTCTTTTAATTCTAATCTTCTTCTAAGCTACTAACTACTTTGGATTATCGTGAATATTCCGTAAAATTTACGATTAAGCAACTCCTTCTTAAGCTTCTGAGTTTGTCAAAAGCCTTACAACTTTATGACCCTATTCAACTTCAGATGTATTCATAACCCGCTTGGGGAATAGGATCTACTCAGCCATTGCTCATAAATTTACCCGAAATCCCCCCATCCATCGTGGGCCCTTCAAAAACGTATGGGGAGAGGCACAGCAGAAGATTCCAATCCCACATTGTGTTCATTTCAAAATGGTCAAAATGGGAGCTACAAACTTTCATTAAATGTACCGTCTTCCAACAGTCGTACACCAAAATAATGTTAACTCATAATTCTGAGCGTGCATATTTAGTGGCACTTCCTTCTCTCCCCCTTACCTTTCCATCTCCAACTTTGTTTTGTGTCCACTAACAGCTCTTCCCTATCCTCCTACCCCCCTGCCGTTCAAATGAATGGCACTTATTTTCAGACATCATTTGCAAGTGAATAACCCAGTCTAATGAGATGTAATGGGTTAGGACATTAAAGCGAAGCTCCAGAACCATAACCATGCGTCTTCCTAAGGTTCAAATAGGGTCGTTAATGTCCGTAAAATGTAGCGGGTGGATACGAGTGGAGGGAAGAAGTGAAATTTTGATATTGAAAATCAAATTTTGTCATTTATGGATCATCTTCAGGGGAAATGGAATATGCTGATATGCTTAAAAGTGTATTAAATTCTCTCAGATGCAGATTGGTGGAGTTCGATGTACGCTTTTTAACGAACTTTCTTTGAATGGATAGACAGAATAATAAATTTCGGAATGAGAAATATCGTTTATTGGATTTCTGAAACCGCACTGAGTTGACATCGAGTGCTTTTAGCATGCTATAATGGAAATACAGATATCATGTACTGCTCCAGTTAAGCTTCTTTAATTGTCAGCTTTCTTAACTATTTTATTATGCGAATGAATGGCGTAATGCAACGCAAAAATTTTCTATGTGAAATAATTTTACGAATTCAATACAATATCCAATCAGTTTAGAAATGATATTTTTTGTTCAACGACAGTATTTTATATTGCAATACAGATTACAACAACTGCACTTTAAACTTAGTATTTATAATTTATATATATGTAATTT